AGCCGGACGTTCATAATGTTGAAAAGTCTGCTCCTGCAAAGTTATGAACAATACTCTTTCGGTCAAGACTGCGTCAGGAATAGGTGCTGTCACTGCACCCTAGTTGCCCCTGATAGGCGCAGATTTATCAGAGGCCAGTTTTATGAATATTTGATGCAGTCTGCTTCTACCCCTGTTGAGATGTTTTGTAGATGCCGGGTGGTTTTGTTTCAGTTGCAGACGCGCAGTTCAGGGCGCCCTAAGTTTGACGGCTCGTCATGAAAACGATAAACCGTTATGCTGTCATTTAATCGGATAGTTACACCGGTGATCCTTTCCTTCCAGAATTAACGCCTCCCGGGATGAACATGTGTGAAGGCACTTCAGTTTTAAAAGTTTTAGAAGCAATTTTACCCCACACTAGGACACTAACGCGGTTGCTGATGGCCGGACGGAAGTTCGTGATGGTAGCCTAATCCGTGAGCGGTGGGTGTCGCATTTTCTCTCTGGTAGTCTTTTTGGCGACACAGCCTGGACAGTATTGCCATTCACTCTGCCAACGTCAGCACTACACATAACGCTGGTCTCTGCCTGAGCTGACTCTGCGTACTGACTTTGAATTTCAGTGCATCCATCATCTGAAAACTAGGATGTGTGACGCAAGTACTTGTTATGATCAAATGGTTCAACAAACCGAAATGTACAAACAGTCTCCTGCGGTTCATTCGTGTAGCCGAGGTTTCTACCTGTAGTTGTCCTACGCGTCCTTTTACCTATATTCGGATCCCCACAGCAAAAGAAGGATCATTTTGACAGACAACACTCCCAAGTTAATTCTTAAAGGTTTTCTATGTATTATCAGTATCCACGCCAGGGCCTAAACCGCAGCATTTTTGGCGATGGTGGCAGCGCCACCCAGCCACACAAACGTTTACAGTCCATAAGTGAGCAACTGAAACATTTCATTGATTTTTTTGCGCCTTGCACTTAAATGCTATGCAGGCGGTGCAGTGCAGCATCTGCATCTTAGTAACGTAACGCCCACACTATCAGGCTTTATTTTGCCACGCAATGAGTCAATATTTGCCATCTAGAGACCTCCAGATACCTGAGGTTGCGCGGTTTTCAACATATTCTATGGATGCGATGTCGCGTAAGTGTGCAGAGAAGCTGCTTATGACTGGGTTTAGGACTCACCAACTGTCGCTCCGCAGTTAGCCTTGCCATTTTGCCTTAACACGTCTCTCAAATACTCGGGCACACTTCCCTATACTGTTTTTGGTCTGATTTTTCTGTGGTGGACATTTAAATCTGGCATTTCCTGTAATTTCCTAACCTCTATCTTCAGCTGACTCTCAGGGACTTCTGAAGACGCCTGATGAACATAACTCCCTCGCCACTAACGAAACCAGTGTTGAATCAAGTCCGTGCGAAAGCCCTTCGGCAGTACCGTCGGTAACTGATCCCCTTGTTCTCGTCCCCAAACAGCCTACTGCGGCATCCAGTGAGGCAAATGCTGCAGTAGCCTCTCCATCTGACGATCCAGCTAAGCCTTGCTCGGGTAAGATATACCTATCAGCAGTACGCTGAATACGACGTGTAGTTGTTTTGACGGTTTTCGTTATCCTTTTTTTCCTTACTTATCGTTAATTTATTTCATTTAGCGTCGCCTGCGGCCTCGGAAGCAGCACCTAAAAAGCGTCTACGCTGCCTAATGTGCAATAAACGTGTTGGATTGACAGGTAAGCTTCAAATCAATTGCGCTGTCTTGATT